TTTATAATAGATTTAAAATATACAAATGATTATTTTTTAAATTATTTTATTTTAATCTGCAATTTGTATATTTTAAGATAGACTCGCAAAATTATGAATATATGTTATTACATTATACACATTACGTACACATATATTGTTTAGTCTTGACGCTTCATTAAACAATTATAAATTATAATATTATAGTTTAGTTGATTTAAAATATTTTTAAAGTAGTTTAAATTAAACTTTTTTGGCTTGTCCTTGCACGAGACGAGGTGGCCGAGTGGTTAAGGCGTTGGACTGCTAATCCAATGTGCTCTGCACGCGTGGGTTCGAATCCCATCCTCGTCGGTACCGTGCAATATGTTTTTTGGTTTTTTTTACATTTATAATTTTTTTATTTTACATTGGACCATTGATAAATAATGATAATTGATCAGCAATTTACATATTTTTACTATCCAAGTACGCTTCTATTTACTTGTTATTTTTTTTTTTCTCAAAATTTAACTCAACTGAGTTGAAAATGAATAATATATTTAGTAATTAATAATTATGTTAGTCGATTGCTACTGTTGGGTAAATGCTATCTTCAAACAAATCACTGCCAATATACATACATTTTTCTCCCATATCCTTATTGTAATATGTTTTCAGTTTGTATATTTTTTTTTTAATGAATGTAAAAAAAAGACTTAGTAATTTTATTATAAACTATAACTACAATTTATCACGGTATTCGTCACATATAGTTACGTCATATACCGGCTAACGCATAATTTATTCAAAATAATAATTTATAAGATTCCATACAAATAACAAAATAATATAAGTACTTGATATCATAATATGAATAGTATAAAATAATTTGTCAGGTAATTATTTATTTTCCATTTTTCAACTACAGTTAATACCATATCGTTTTATTTAAATATAAACAAATAAAAAATGTACAGACATCAGTCTCATTTATATTTTAGATATATGTGCCTATATATGTATAATATTATTATAATTGGCACCTTCTCTGTTGTGGTATGAAATCAGAATGGTATTATCCATGTGACCATGTGTAATTATTATTGTGTATTATTGTGTTCATTATACTATTATGTATTTATTATGCGCCTGCAAAGTGCAAGTATAGGACCTGCATAAGTACCTCATAATATTATGTCCTATTGCAGGTMCCTATAATAGGAATATWACCTACCTTCAATCGTCCAAGTGCAAATATTTGCGTATTATTATTATTATTATTTATTCCGTATWGYCAATAGCATCTACAATAAATAATTATAAATGTTAAATAGGAATATATAGGGTTACATAATGATATATATTACATTTGTCTGTCGACATTAACCAGCAATACACATGGTAATTTTATACGTTYGAATGACATTTCGTTTGTATGAATGAATGTTTTTTATAATTCATTATTCAAAACTTTTTTATAGAAAGATGTAGAAGACGCTATATAACGGAACAACTCCATTGCCTATTTTATAATATTTTTTAAACCGGCATTACAAAAGTTTTTTTTTTTTAATAGGTAAATCTATTTCATAAAAATATAATTTACCGCTTTAACTTTAAAATAAGGTAGGTACCCATAACATTAATTGTATTAATAAATTATTATAATGTTATTATATTTTTATACGTTTGAATTCGTTTTTGTTAAATAATAAATGTAGATTATACTATTCATAAATCATAATACACTTACAAATAAACAAGATATATGTACTTATAGTAGTCACTTTATAGGAACCAGGTCATATACATTATAGACACTATCCACTATGTAAGCGTTGGACTAAGGTCAGTGTCGACGCGTTGGAAGTGCGCAGGCCTTATTATACAGGGAGTCAGGGACACAGCTGACTTCTCACTGTTTTAGTGTTATTGGTTTGGGACTTGTTACATTAAAAATGATCGGAATGTGAAACCAAAAACGACAAAATACGCGTATTATTTTTTACTTTATTTTTGAAAAACAGCATAGAACATGATATTTAAATTGAAAATAGAATTGAAAATAAAATATAAAAATCAAAATTACGTGATTTACATATTATTACAAATAGTTTGTACACAAGTTTACTAATCTGTACTTATCATTTTCGTGTTGGTCTGTAACATAAAACAAAAAACAAAAACAAATGGAAAAAAACATAAAGGTATTATTATTAGATAACAATTTTTTCATAATAATTTTACAGTACCTATAACATTTGCACTGTACCGTCTGTACCCACATCTGTACGGTAAGATGTAATTTTCTTAAGTTCTTGAATTTGAATATTTTGCGATTGTTGGTCAGTCATTATCTTTTTGTGCATAGAGGAASAATGTTCAATGTCAACGGATTACGGAAGTGATGATAACCGTATTGAAGTACTTATTGAGGAAACTAATGAGAATAATATTTTTGTTTGGKATAAACAAAAATATAACAAATATAGATACACTATTCTTAATAAGTATCTGCGAAGATAATACCATTGAGTATAGATAGTATAGATACTATATAGATACTATCTATACTCAATGATAATACATATGTAATATATTATATAGACGATAATAGTTAGGTATAGGCATCACCTACTTTTAATCTGAAAAGAATGATATAGAATAATTAACTATTWAGGGATAAAGACGATACTTAAGTTTTTTAGTAATGTGACTATGTGAGTACTCGAGCAGTCGAGTGCACAAATTTCATTATGATTTGAACAGGCCTCGCAAATAATAGCACCAGTAAGTACCGACTAAGGTGTAAAACAGATGTATGCAGGGCCGGACTGGAAGGGTTTCGGCCCACTATTTTCTGTAACCTGCAACTGGCCCAGCTTCCTAAATTTAATAGCAAAACTTCAACCAACAAAATATTACATTTTTTTCTTTAGTATTTTTACCTCCACCCAAATTTTATAAGGATTAAGATTTAGAAACTTTTTCAATTTTGATTACAAAGAAAATGTAAAATATATAAATACATATAGGTACATATAGGTAAAATCTTATAATTATATATTTATGTGTTTGATAATAACTTAGATAAAGTATGAGATGAGTTTTAAATAATGTCCAAAACCAAAATATCGTCRAACATCAAATTATTAAATATGTCTTTATATATATTTATAATTTATATATACAACCTGTACAACYATAGTATCATCATTCACCACTACCATTGCACCAGTAGTCTTCGCGTATTTTGTTGTATTCTGTGTTTATTTAATATTTTGATGTGTTTTTGTGATAATTCTGTCAACTGCAAAACTCTCGGTAAATTTGTACTGATTTTTATTATTGAAATATAATATTTTAATCACATATCTTAAATATAACATAATATTATGTGTCATGGTGCTACCTAGTACCTACTATGTTTAACTAGAAAGCCTTTTATGCCCTTGCATAATTAGATTGTTTTTATATTTATATACATTTTTTTTTACATAACCATAGCTTGCGGCGCACTGTGCTGTAGAATGGTAGTACAATGGCCCAGTTTGGCCCTGGACCCTGGATGTTTAGCAAAAAAGTAACTTCTAACGTACTAATGCCTAACTACTTTAAATTTATTTTGATGGAGTATAGTGTTTATATTTTTTAATTAATTATTGGAAGTCCAAACCTATGGTTGTTTAGAAAAAGTATAGTATATCATTGAACATTAACTGTGTAACATACTAATATAGTAATATGTAGTATTGTAGTAATAATATATAGTTACTTTTTTAAATGGCTGAACCTAATATTTAATACTTTTTATTAAAAAACGAATTAATAGATATTTTGGCAATATTACAATTTTTGATTACAACTTAAAAATCTGTCAYTTAAATTCAAACCGTTTCACATTYRGTAAWATGCATTTCGTCTAAAATTATTAAAAATCTTATCTAATAATAAAAAAAGAAAAGGTCTGGCGCATAAGAGCCATTCAATACGCCCTTTTCGCTAACGGGACGAGGTGGCCGAGTGGTTAAGGCGTTGGACTGCTAATCCAATGTGCTCTGCACGCGTGGGTTCGAATCCCATCTTCGTCGAAATCGTTAAAAAAAATTTTTTGTTTTTTTTCCCATTTTAGTGAAATATTTCCAAATTTTTTCATCGATTTAATCCATCAAATGAAAAACAGAAACGAAGTACACGTCTGCGTGTTGCTTCGCGGGATATATTATAGTTATTTGGCACCATATCAATCGATCGGTACWGCAACAGCAGCAGCTGAGCAAAGAAATTGAATTACATTACACACATATAAAAACAATTAAGTATCTATTTTAATTTTGATTCTAAAAACCAGAGTTTATTTTCAGTATAATTGGCCAGACGTTTCACTTTTTTCCACTGCCTTCTGTGTATAATATAAACTATAGTATAATGTTGTATCAGATTAAACCGACCGTGGTCGTATATTGTTATTGTAATCATGTTTAACATTCAGTATTCGACAAAGTATATTCGATTCCGAACAAACCGAATTGGTTAAACTCTATTATACCCAATTTCTATTTTTCCTTAAATTGATATAAAATGGTAACAATATGAAATGTTTCTTTTGTTTATTACATTAATATTATGAACGTTAAATTTATAGTTTTCGATGTCTTCAAAATAACTATAAAGTAAACTCTTCATTATATATTATAATATTTTACACGCTATATAATTGTTTAAATTTTTTATCGCGTCGTAGTGGTCTTAAATACTATTTAAATAATGCTCACAAATTGTTTAATGGTTAGTATTCCGAAATAAATAGTAGCTTTTTAAGTCTTTTTTTTAGGAATTTCTAATAATTTTTTATTGACATTTGTTAGATTTTTACTTTTGGAGACGTAACTCCTATAACTCTAAAAGGTTATTTCCAAATCATAATTTATAATGAAACGTTGTAAATAATTGTGTGTAATACATACAAAAAAGTTCAACGACTTTTCACTTTTTAGTAAAGGTCATTTAATAATTTATTTGACTAACGTCTGGTTATGTCTAATTTTATTATGCTTTGTTATATTTATCAAAGTGATAATGATCGTCATCTAGATAATTATTTATAATTTTGTATTTCGTATACCAGATGATTCATTGAGCATTCTCATCCCCTTTCCCTTCGTTTACGATTTTTGGATTTTTGTATAAGTACCTACTATAAACATTAATGTGTACTTAATAAACATATTTACAAATTCTTAGATTTTTATTTCTTTTTTAAATATTCAATATGGTAATGCAATTTTTTTCTCCAAATATAACCACTCTTTTTACGGTTAAATTATTGTCGGATGATGGTCTTGAAAATGTTGATGCATCTATATCGATCATTAAATAATTAATTTTTGAATTATCCTAGTTATTATATTTTTTTATGAAAGATAATTAGTCCTTATATTTTTATTTGACATTTAAAATATATTGTGTAATATTTAGTCTGTACTATCTATAGTTAAAAATGTTCGATTATTATCTTTTCTACTATTATTTGTAGTAGGTACATTCAATTGTTTTAGAACAACGTATTATATAATCAATCAATTGGTTTGTAATAATTAATATTATAATCGACTAATTATAATTAAATAGCAGTATTGCACACATCACTATATATTACGAAAAAATAACCACATAGATGGCTCAATGTTATTTATTTTATATAGTTTTTCAAAAATAAGTGGCGTAACGAAATACGGTCGTCCGCCGTCCATTGGAATATTATTCAATGTGAGATGTAATTAAAATATTTATGTAAGTTTTTGGGTTCAATTATAATACGTGTCCCAGGTGTAAAATCGTGTATATGGATTTGTTTACGTATTTTATATTTTACTATTAATATAATAGGTATACCATGGCATGCTGATCAGTGCAGTTCAATGTCCATGGTAACTATACTATCTACTTGTTATACTATTTTGATTGGTGTGTTTATTTAAACAATAAAATAAACTATTTTTAATTAATTAATTAATAATTATATAATAATAATAATAATATATATGTTTTTATCAAACACATTAGGTACATTTAGATTTATAAATTATAATTACTAAAATAACCACAATAATGTCACCTATTAAGTATATTAAAATATTAATAGTAACTAGTCACATATCACATATTCACGAATTTATAAGTTATAGTTATATATTGATAATTTCATTGAAGTTTTAGGAATATTCATTCTCTTGAATTAATGTTATACGAAGCTTGAGTAAATAATGACTCGAGAAATTTAAAAGCTTCCTTACCGAATAATATTGTGATAGTTATAGATAGGTACAGTAAGGAAGTTTTAATATTTTTATATGTATTTATACGCAGACCATTCTGGTGTACCTTGTATACCTTGTATACCTTATTATAGCTATTACTTATTATGAAGTTAAATGATACGACTTCCAGCATTCCTGTTCCTATCGTTATTTCTCAGTAAATTGTATCTAATGGCATAAAAGCAAGTTATTTATTATTATAGTTATTTATCATACGTGAAATATCTACGATACCATATTTGTAAATAATAAGTTGTATTTTGATATATTAACTCCATATAGTAACTTTTAAACGGTACGATTATTGTCATAAATTATAATTAAAATGGAAGCGTAGGTCACAGTTTAAACGACTTCGAAGTAAAAAATATTTAAAAAAAATTAGTTCAAATTAAAGAATCATAAATCTCTCTCAAGCAATTTAATATTTGGTAGGTTTGCCTACACTAGTTTCTGGTGAAATGAATTGGATGGATCCTGTAATATCTGTCGAAGGTATATAACTTCGAAATATACATTTCAGACTAGTAACATGTATTTGCGAGGTGTAATTTAGATACACTAGTCTTTTCATTCAAAATATAATTAATTTAACATATACGTCTGTGTAAGTCCATGAAATAATGATTTTGTAAAAATCCTGCAATCTTAAATTATGACATACGATGGCACTAAGTATAGTCATTATTATTTTTTATAACTAATAATTTTCAATTATAATGGTAGTTTTTTTTCTTTAATAATACTTTAGATTATTCAGAATAAGATTAATTTTATTAACGAAAACATATATTGAATACTCGGCTAAGTTTTAAATTAAATTTGTTCACGATTTATTTCTTTGATCTATATTTACAGTTGTTCACCATTTATCTTTCACGAATCATTTTAGGTACCGAATTCTAAATGCATCTTTATTAATCCATTCCCAACATTCTTTTATGTAATCTCAGACATCGGGGTTAATAAAATCTGTTCAATTCATGTACCCGTCGAAAATCAAATGTTAAGACATTCATGGAAACACACGAAAGCAATTGAACATGGGCTGAAGACAGAAACTTTTTTTTATACTTCCATTTTTAGAACCCAACTCTCGTTGATTGAACATCGTCTCTCGTACGGAATAAGCCCTCCGGGTGCACTAACCACTAAGGAGACGTCTTCAACTCTTTAAATTTAAAAATAATGCGAAAGCGATGATAATCTTTCTGTCAATAAAATCAAACAAAATTATGTATTATATGAACGTTATTGTCGATTACATGTCTTTATTAAAGCATAAACGGGTATTTGATACTGGCAGTAAATAAAAACCCGCTGTCGATAAAACCTGATTATGATCATAAAATGTACATTACGCTATTGGTAAACAATTCTAAATGCATATAGTTTTTTAATTTTGATTTTTTTATCTAATAGTTTTTAGTACTAAGCTCGTTATAGTTCGACACGAAATATCGGTGTTATTTATTTTTGTGAAAGATCAACTGCATTATTTTGTAAACAACAAAAATATCATATTTGCCGGTTATAGCGGTTATAGTACCGACATTTATTTATCTGGCAGCTGGCATATATTGTATTTTTAACTTTAATTAATTGTAATTAATTATTCAACACATTCTAAACATATTGATTATTGAAGAAAATCTTATAAAATTCATGATTTTCAGATGTTAGTCGAATGGATAACAATATAGGAGTATAATTATTGTATTGATGTTGGATATTAAAGGTTAAGGTCGTTAAGGATAATTAATATTAGCCATTAAGATCCATAAAATATGAATCTTAACTCGTAATTCAGAATCATAAACTCATAAAGGACTCCATGGGTAGTTCAAATTGTATTATTCACTTATAATTATCATAATCCTAAACATATGGACAAAAATATTAAATTAAATAATTAAGTGAAATATCAAGAAAGAAATTGTACACCTGTCTGTCATTCGTTTCCAAGCAATCATTAGTCCATTAACACATTATTTTATTTTTGGCACAGTGTTTAAAATCCAAACAACTTTTTTTTACTGTCTCAAACTGCTCAAACTAAGTGGATTTTGGTTTTTTGGTTTGATCCTGAAATACTAAGAACACCTAAATATTATAACAGGCCCTATTTTTATGTGCACCGCAAAACACAATGTGCACCACGAATGTACAAGTGTGCATTACGGTATACAAAACAAAAATTACATACCAGCTACTACAAAATATGATTTTGTTTGAWTTGATTGCATTGTTAAATTGTTATACTTATACATATATGCATATATTCCATCTTCTTCTTCTTCATCAGCTTAGCGGTCCACTCAGAAACATCGCTGCCATTAAAATCTGTCTACATCTGTATCTCTAATATTATGCTGTACTCGTATATATAAGATATAGTAGTGCATAAATGTTCGTTTAAGGCAGTAAAATTAGTTGTGCAGTCCGAAATTTTACAAAAAATAGCGCCTGTATTATAATTACATAATCATACTGTACATTAATAAAATTATCTTAGCAAATTATTGCTATGGAACACAACTCATATATTTGTTGTGGTAGRCACAAGCTAGATTAGGTTTAATCTCTTTTTTATTTATTTATTTTTTTATTTAACGCGAGTTGTAGACAGTAATAATTCATATGATAGCCTCGCCTACATCACTCCGACAAACTCGTTTTAATAACGACTGAGAGGATCTTTATGATATTGTCTGAGGAATGATTTTTATCATGTTGAAACAAATAAAACCGCGTCTGAAATCGAAATTATT